TTTATCCTTGGTCATTAAGTCACGACCCAAATTCTTAAATGCTGAACCAAATTCACTTCAAAAGACGTAGTGCAAATAGGGCATAGTGCAGTAACACATAAAGAACAAAAAAAGTCTGACATTAGGAAAAAAAAAAACCTGAATTATTATTTTTTTTTACTACACATTTCGTGACCCAGTGAAAATGCTCCGGTGACCCAGTTTTGGGTCGCGACCCCCCCCTCACCCGAGGTGAGAAGTGGTGCAGAGAGTGTAACTGGTGTGACTGGGCCTGAGGATGCCTCACAGGTCACCTGCTGTGAATGATGTCTGTCTTTCCGCTCCCCGTTTCGTGTTGTTGAGTCTCGGCGCCCTGACGTGTTCGCAGCTTCGTCTGCACTGGCACTGCACTGGCACTGCACTGGCACTGCGCTCAGACTTACTTCTCAAAACTGTCACACCGACTCTGCCAAAACCGTCTCGCGGCACCCCGGCAAAGTCAGACGCTTCAAACGGGGCTCTATTTTCTGCTGCGACTCCTCCGCTCCCCCCACCCCTCCAGCGGCTGCTAATTACGGTGCTCTGATCGGATGGCGCGGGAGGGGGTGGGGTCCCGCCGTGTGACAAGCACGGCCCGGGGAGGCGGATCACAGGAAAGTTGTCACACAGCCTAAACATAGATCAATAGGAACATCCTAGAATGTCGCGCTGTATTAAAAAGGGGGGCGGGGCTCTGATGTTTTATTAATGAGGATCTTGCTCTGTGATGCCTTTGACAGATGCATGATGTCACCTGCTGGATGTCAGGACTGTGTCCGTCCTTCTTGTGTACGTGCTGTCAGTGTGTCACTGCGTCCTGATCGCTGAATCTGTTTGCTCAGGACCAGGGGTGTAGTTTAGAATTCTGCACCCCCCCCCACCGGCAAAATGTCACCTTGGGACCCTCAGTAGGGTTTCCACTCTCTATATGAAGAATTATGGTACACTTCCCCCCCCCCCCCCAAATAATAAAATTTGCTGAATGGGGAGGGGGGGGGATTTGGAGTGGGGTTCCCCATGGGAGAATATAAAGTGCAGGGCCCCCTGAATCTGCCAGGGAATCCAGGCCCCTCCCGAGCCCATGGTCAGGACTGACTGAGACCCCATTCTTTCTCCCACGTTGCTTCATACCAGGATCATAATCATCTTCTCCTCCCGCTCCATTCACAGCTGCACACATTGGAGTTTCAGCAGATGGCGCTATCACAAGGTTAGCTGACCTCGTTCAGGACCGATAAGTGGGTCAGCAAACTCTATGGTTCTCGAACTTCAACTTCAAACCGTCTGAAGTGTCGTATCGGTGGAGATGCAGGGCATTAGAGAAGATATGTCAGTTTAATGACTGTGTAAAAAATGCTGTACTTGGGATTTAGCCACCTGCAGTCATACTCCATACTCCTGTATTAACTGCGTCGAACGACCGCAAGAGTAATGAATACAAAGTTGATGGATGGTTTAAAGTAGGTGCTAAAGAGAATCCATGTCACAAAGGTGAAAATTTAAGAGCTGTAAAGCAGACATTTTAGGGGGGTGATAGTTAACTTTCCTCTGACCCAATCCCCATCACATGGCAAAATGAGGATTAGGTGCCCACTGAGGTTAACGCCCACAGCAAACCCTACATTAAAATAAACATCCCCTTACAAGGCATAAGAAACACAACCTTGACATGGTACTATTTAAAATGCTAATTTGGAAAAAGAGAAACACAGTCTTACCACAACACCAACTGGCCTCAATTTTAAAATAGGCCACCTCACCAACTCAAATGGGATTTGTACAGACAACTGGAAATACTGTAATCCAAACCTAGTCTGCTGCCACACAATATGGAAGCACATATCCGACACTGGCAGGGTGAAAGAGATCAATTATTCTCGCCTATAAATTTTATGTGCACTTAAACGGAACAGCAGGTCGTAAAACACGCCCACTGAAAGGCACGCTCCTACCGTCCGGCCCCCTCCCTCCGCGAGCTGGTCCACACTCCCCTGCTGTGCTGTATTAGCTGTTTTCTGGCCATTGTGACTCATCCCTGCTTATGTCTCCAAGGGCCTGGAACGGACCAATGGAGTTACGCCAGTACACTCTCGGGTAAATGTGATCTTTCCATTAACGCTGCCACTCTGTCTGCCAGCATTTGACTGATCTTCGGGGCTTTAGGACATAGATGGACTCTCTGTAGCATTCACTTTTGGCCCCTACTGAACTCTAAATGTCACCAACAAGCAGATTTACATGTGTGGGCAGCACTAGGGGATTGTGGGTACCAAATTGGCTGACGCTGCTCCTGGGTGGGACAAAAGTCCCGTGCATGGATTAATAAGCAGGAGCAGAAATTATTGGGGACTTTTATTTCTAAATATCCAGTTTAAAAGGAAAATCGAGTGCGTGAGATGTTGCCCATTTTGTGCTTGTTTTGTTATTTTGTTGTGTTTTGAAATAAATCTCCATGTGGCACAGCGGGTAAACACCTGTAATCTGGAAAATTCTTGGCGCTAGCACCCCCTTTCAGAAAGGTATTTTAATTCAGAATGCTCTATTGAAAGTGACCTGTGAAAGTCTTAACTAAGCAAAGAAGAAAAATGACAAATTTCGCTAAAAAGTCCAAGAGACCGAAATTAACCTCGGTGTCATTTTTTTTCCCCCAAAGGAAGTGAAGCACGGTAAAATGACCACTTCTTTGCCGTAAACATAGTAAAATTGCATATGAGAGGCATGAAAAGGAGTCTTTACTCCGGAGGGGCTTTTTAACACTTGGGACGTAGCGGCACATGAACGGCTCGTGTTCTGTCGGAGCCAGTGCGTGTGCTGAGGACACCTGGTTTCGCTGTAACCACACGGAACGGAACCTGGCGTCCAGAGTTGCCAATGCCTTTAATTGGACCCCAGGGAATCTTGTTGCTAATTATCGGAGTAGACTCTAAGCTTCTCTAATATAGGCGCCCCTGATGTACGGCAAACGTGTTTCGGGCATTTTGCCAGACACCGGGACACCCCCCCCCCCATCTCACTTCTCGATTCCAGCCCACTCTAGGTAGGTTTTTTTTTTTCCTAAGTGGAAGCAGCCCAGAGTTGCAATCCATTAAATGATCGCTGGTTTCATTAGCCTTATTGAAATGCAGAGTTTGGGTGGTGCCTGTGTCTTTAACCTTTAAGGGATCCGCACGAGCACGCACGCACGCACGCCCCGAGAGGCTGCACGGGCAATTAGCAGCACCGCGGTGTCTGTGCCACTCGCATCCGGCGCGCTGCGTGTGCCGACGCACGGAACGGCTCTTTTTCCTCGTTTTTCCGCCACTCCCAGGTCCGTGTGAGGAGAAAAGGGCAGCAGGAATGGCAAGCGGGCGCTAGGAGACGGCGGAATCGTGCCTGGCGAAGGTTCCCACACCTCCTGTTAGGTGCACAGCCAGGGAATAAGGGCTCGCACTGAAACTGGAGCCAATCACAGGACACCCTGGACGGGATGCCGGTCACAGGGGACGCACACACTGCAGCCAATTTGAGAAAATGTATGTACCTGCCTGGGTTTTGTATTCTAGTACTAAAACATATGAAACATGCAAGTACGACACACATGGGGGGGGATTTTGATCCCAACTCTGAAGGCGTGAGGCTTCCCATCGACTCACCCATGTGTCCCCCATAAATGACCTGGGATTCTACTGATATTATGTGATGAGTGCTGGAATACTGTATGTGAACAGGTCGTGGGGTTAGGTGGTTGAGTGAGGAGACATGGAGACATGGCAGTCAGAATAATGACACAATAACAACAAGTACTAACCAGAACAACAACAGACACTGCAAAGGGGGTATAGAAGATGGATGGATAGATGGATAATAATAATAATAATAATAAGAAGAAGTTGAAGTTGAAGATGAAGTAAGCCCAAAGGCGGCATCTAAATGGCACAGGGACCGTGTGTGACTTCCGGGACCTCGGCACGGATGACTTTGGGCTGGACGGCATGTTACCTGGAGGGACACATCTTTGCGACGGGCCTGAAGCGAAATGTCATCCCGCGAAGGGCCGTATCCGATGTTTGCCGTGTCGATCTGCGTACGTCTGCAGCCCGGTCTGCTGTGAGCGTGACAGATGAGGCTCAAACAATAGCCCTGTCACATCTACACCCCCCCCCCCCCCCCTTGGCACACGCCTGTGGTGAGGCGCCACCACGGATGCGTCAAGAAAAGTCTGTCATTATTATAGTTATCATCCATCCATCCATCCATCTTTCAACTCCGTATCCTGCTCAGGGTCGTGTGGGTGGGGGTGGGGTGGGCTGCAGCCTATTTCAAAACAGCATGGGGGCACAAATAAATTAATAAAATTATTAATATTATTGTTGTTGTTGTTATACTGTTGAAATGATACGTACTGCTTAAATACTGCTTATGCAGCAAGGAGACACAAATAACACCTTCATAAAATTACTGTTAATGTACAATAAGCTGCCCTTATAAAGTACAAAATGCGGGTACAGATCTGAATTGCATTGTGCACACTTTAGACAAGAGCTTGTGTAACCATGGTAAAATGGATGCGTAAATTAAGGGAAATAAATAAATAAATAATAATAGACATTGTCTGACTGGGAACCCAGGGACTGCTAGCATGAAGCGTACATGCGGACGATGGATAGGTCCCAGACGGCTATGACACACACGCACTTATTAATGGAATGATGAAAGGACACAATGGAACTGAAAGCCGCCTCAAAGAATGACTGTGCTATGGTTTGTTTAATGGTATCTTTAATCAATAGTTAATGCATTTCCCTAAAGAGTAAAGAGACGGATGCTTCTCACAATGGCCATTATCGAAATGACAGAACGTGCGTTAACACGCTCATTAAAATCATTATTATGCAAAATGACTAGAACCAAAAATGTTCCGCAAATACATTTCTTTTCTCGTCATGACATTGTAGTTTTTCTGTTTTAATTTGGCCTTTTTTTATAATGAGCTGAGGAAACGTCAGTCTTCTTATTAATCCGAATGAAGAGTCTGCACTCTGCCTCGAGCCCTATTTAATACAAGCAACAGGCAGTTCAAATTTGTCAAAATGAACATTAATCTGATAAGCCGGCGCAATAAGCAAAGCACAGCTTGAGTTAATTTCAAATAACAAAAAAACCCTCCAAAATAAGTTAATTGTTTTAGGTAATTTTAGTGTGGAGGGATATGATCGTATCTAACTGAAAAAAAAGATGGCAGGTGTTTATAGAAGCAGGTACAGTCGGTGGAAGGGAATTCGCTAACGGGAGAGAGTGCAAGACGGCAATCAGGACAAACAGAGGCTTTTAATGCATGCTGAGAGTGCAGCTTTGAAGCAGCGGGTGAGTGATAGTCCCTACAGCGAGCCACAGGCTAATACGGTCCCGTCTACAGAACAGGAGCTTATTCTGTGTGACCAAAAGCTAATCGGTAACAGCCATAACAGCTTAAAGAAACAGTGACCGCACACAGCCCTGCCTGACGCTGGGGAAATGGCCTATGAGTCATTCTTGTGAATGCATGTTGAGATGCACAGAGCTGATTTATACAGTAAAAACACAGACCTTCAGGGCAAATTCCTAGGGCGGCATTTTCTGAGGGGAGAAGATTGACGTTGTCGAAACGTATATAGAATACAAAAGGATTTGTACGAGGCTTGAGAGACTAAAGTCAACTAAACTAAAGTCAAGTGGTCGGCAATAAGGACCTTAGCTGACCATACACAACAGCACCATGGAGACAGGGAATGATTGTTCCTGTCTACGACATGTTTGATGACAAACCTTTCCGTGACACACCAAGGTTAGCTGGCGCAGCTGAAATCTTCATTTGGTCGCTCACCGCGTAAATGATGAACGGCTCTGAAAAATTCATACTGAATGATTTCACCAACCCGCTCGACTGAATTCTATCAAGCCCCAGTCCCACCCCCACTCAAAGTTTTCATTAACGGAAAGGTGCGATTTCAGCGGCTTCTTTATAATATGGTGACGCCATTCGATTGCGGCCAGGAGCAGCACTGCCTAGAGCAACATCAAGCGCAATGAGAAAACCTTTTCCCATAAAGTGTTACTGGGTTACATTTGGTTGGCTGCCTCTGAAGTTAGCAGGAAATTTCTATTCAATAATAGGAGGAGTTTTACCGGATAGTCCAGTGACTCCAGAAGACGTTTCGGACTGGAATATTTGTATTACATTTTGTTGCATAGCTAAAGAGTAGGCCTACATTACCATGAAATATGAAACGTTCCTCTCAAAAATATTCCAGGGTCCCTCCATGCTGCTTGTTCTCATGATGTCTGGCACACAGTTGGCCAGCAGGTGGCGTAGTGTTTAAGGGCTGCCTTGTAATCTGAAAGCTTCCAGTGGCCTGTACTATGAATCGGGGTTACTGGCTTATTGAGGTAACTTCTCGGATTTAAGGTATTCTGGGCATAATGTAAGTGAATGAATATGAAGTCCATTAAAACTGTGGTACCTTAAATTCGGCAAGTTACCCAGATAAGCCAGTAACCCCACTTCGTAGTACAGGCTACTGGAATCTGAAATCTGGTCCCCCTGCAGGAGATCTGCTGCAGAAGGACGACCGGCAGCATAAACAGCATTTCAGTTTGCATAGAGGTGTCATCTGGCTGGTTAAATTTATACAAGGCAGTATTAAACGTGTATACTGTAAATCAGAGTGTTATGGAACCGGAATAAACAGGATACAGAGAATGTAGCTAAGCTCAATAAACTCTGTGTGGATGGAAATGAATCTGAACAAAAGGTGCATTAAGAACAAATCAACCCCAACTATTAGCATAACATTTTCTCCACAGTCCACACACAGCCGCTGAACTTTCACCTTAAAAATTAATTTTAAACCGTCAAACAGCCAGAAGCATTGGAAATGCCACGTCTAATGATGAATTTCCAACCACCTGGGAACATTCCCAAGTTTTAAGCAGCTCCTGTGAAAGAAAAGGAAACTATCGACTGCCTTTTGAAGATGTAATCCTACTACATCATTTCTGTGCTACGACTAAAGTAACATAACCATGAATTGTGTTAGGAATCCAGCTTTATTAATCCTTTGAGATTCCATGCAGAAAAAGTGAATTCAGAAAGAAATCGGCTCATGATAGAGTTTGCAGCGGCTAAGCGAGTGAGGCTTGTTTATCCGACGAGACATTCTCCACATGCCGTGAATGCTAATTGCAAATATCTAAAGAAGAAAGGTATAATAATTAATTATCTGCATATTCATGTGCAGGGTACCTGTTCATAAAAGCTTCACGTACAATTAGACAAAGAAATGGAAATTTCAGTCAACACTAAGGGAATAAAAGTGCGAATGTCAAATTTTTAGTCAAGTATAATTAAAAATTCCGGAACAATAAAAAGGAAATACATTTGCTATTTGAAGAAATTATTACTGGCAAGCAAACAAGGCTGAATGTCCTCTTTTTTCCCCGTCTGTTGACTGCAACCATCATGATGAAATAAAACAAGAGGGTATCACAATAGGCAGGTTAATGAAAAGCATGGAAATGAAACAGTGTGTGTTTTGGACTGATCATACTGGAAACTTTAAAAAAGCAGAATATATACTAGAAATCGGTGCAAATTTAAAAAAATACTAAAAATTTGCGTCTCACATCAGTCAGAGGTGAACTTGACGTGTGCACCTGTCATGATGTTGAAATAGAGTAATGCTTTAATGACAGGTTACGACACTTAAAGGGAGTCAGATTCACAAACACCTTGCACAGACTGCACAGTTACCTCTGCAGTTTATGGATATTAGACTTGCTTTTGATCACAGGGGGAATTTCGAGTAATGCTGCATGTTCACTTTTTAATTGAGAAATAAGCAAAGTGCAAAAACTATGCATTGGAGGCCAGCATTTTAATGTGATTTTTGGCACTCGTCTCTGCTTTTTGTGCATGCATGTGTGTGTACTTCTCTCCATCTTGAATATCTATATCTGTGTCTGTCCAGCTGTCTGCGTGTCTATATCTAACTGGGCATCAGGAAAGCCAGTTCTCAGCCTAAAAGCAATTTATTCTCTATAATTCCAAGGGGATCGTAGAATGCACTGAATGAATTTTACATGTGCCATTTCAGTTCCATATGTTGATTCAGTACGTTTATATGGGGTTGAAGGATAAAAGGCTTATGTGCACATTATTCATAAAAAGTACCATGACAGCACGCTCACACACACGCTCACACACACACGCACACACACACGCACATGTAGGGTATACATATCCTTATGGGGACCACTCATTCATTTCAATGGGAAAAATGCTAACGCTAACTATGACAACCTTAACCCCTACCCTGCCCTAACCATAACCATAAGTAACCTAACAAAAAACAAGAGTTTTTGCATTTTTATTTTTTTCATAGCGGTCACCGATTTTTATAAAATAGAGTTTTCCCTTATGGGGACCAGGAAACCGGTCCCCATGAGGGAAAAAAAACAGATATTTATCACGTTATGGGGACATTATGTCCCCATAAGGATAGGTAAACCCGCTCGCACACACACACACACACGTACACATTTTTACAGGACACACCCAGCCTTCATTTCCATTCTTGCCTTCCCTCCTTGTGCACGTAAATCCAACAGAACCAGCCCTATAAAACTTCAGAAGCACCTGTGTATGTGTGTGGGATCAAAGCCGTCAGAAACGCGGCGATAAACCAGACCCCCCCCCCCCCCCCGGTCACAAAGGAGACGGAAAGAAAACCCAGCCGAAAAACTTAACACTCCCATCTGCGACAAAGGGAGAGCAGGACACTGTCGCCCTACTAACCCAGACCCCTAGGCGGGACGGAAGTCTGTTTTGTTTTCCTGAAGGTCCGCAGAGCACAGAGAACACAAGAAAATTGCACGCTTCACTTCAAATGACCACCTACGAATAAGAATGGTAGACAGAACCACCTGCAGCACTTTCTGCTTCTCCTGGACACCTTATTTCCAGCAGAGATGTGAGAATCCACCCCCCCTGTGCAAAAAAATGCATCCCCTCACCCCAGAGGCTCAGATATATGATTTATGACTGGCCTAAATGATCATGGTGTAGGGATGGCTGGTAATGACACAGTTTCCTGAAGCCTGCTGGTTCTCCAGTCATGTCAGCAGTGTGCTGGACCACGGCTGCGTGAGATCAAAGAGCTGTTCTTCGTCCAGCCTCTGCTGTTTGTTGTTTCAGACGCTTGTGTTTGTGTTCATCGTTTTCAGAGACGACGCAGGTGTTCCGGCAGATTGCCGTGCCTTCTTCACGGCGGCTCGAATTTTCTCAGTGTCCCCGGACCTGAAGCCCGACTCCGTGGGGATACACGTACGTACCCGTCCCCCTGAGGCATCAGCGGTGGCAACACGGCGGTGACCTCATCGCCAGCCACTCAGGAAAGCAGCGCGAGGATGCCCTCATGGTGCAGTCAGGGAATTAACTTTAATCACTGCGAGCGCAGTATTTGCGCCAGTGAGAGAAAGGATGCGATTGACCTTGAGGAACTTAAATATTTCCTCACGTCTTGTTCCCTCTGGTGTCGTGCCCAGCAGTGTTCCAAAACAAAATGTAAATAAAGAATAAATATATTCTAACGCTGAAAATAATATAGCAAAACAAAAGGAATGATAGAGATAAAAATCAAAGTAAAACGTTTTTTACTGATCCCCGACTGCGTGTCGACAAAATTGACAATGACTTCTTGGTAGTCAGCAACTTTCTTATTTCAGTCCGTGTCACATTATCTATCCTGGGGGTAATTTGGTTTTCCTGGGGTAATCAGCTAATTAACTGAGTTGGAATTTCTAGATAAGAAGCTCCTTGGGCTGTAGTGTTGATGCTCAGTCTGTGCTGAATCTCCTTCAAATGAAATAACCAATCACGACAAGGCAGAAATATGCCTTATAAGAATTCCACTGCCCTTCATTCCTCCCCGGAGATATGCTGGATACCTAATTTTTAAATCCCATAAAGGATCGCTTTTCTGAATCATCCGGAGCAGGAAATAGCATAACAGGGGATTTAAGAATATTATATTATGCAGTGACATGAGGGTCATTTCAACGTTACACCATGGAGACATTCCGTGACACCTTAAGATATCAGTAAACATAAAATGTAACTTCACAAAAGCCCCTGCATCCTTTAGAATTTAGAATTAAGTGATCAGTGGTCATTGTCAACACACCACAGCAAAAGTGCGCAACAACAAAATGTGACCTCTGCATTTGACCCATATGTGACTTTCGTGACATAGCAGGGAGCAGTGCTTGGGGGCGGTACCTTGCTCAGGGTACCTCAGTGGTGACTGGCTGGTGGGGGATTTGAACCTGCAATCTTTCAATTACAAGTGCGCTACCCTAACCATCAAGCCACCACTGCCCCATCATTAGATCATTAGATCCAATGATGCTGTTTTCAAAAGTGTTGTTGGTGTTGTAGTGATCGTCCACTGAGGAGCAATAAACCACAAAGACAGATCTTACAATAAATGTTCTTACTCTTATTCTGAATGACTAGGATAACCAGCTATGGAATGTGGAAAGTTAAAAAACTGAAAATCTGGGGCATGTCGCCCTTTTAGGGCTCGTATCTGACAGCCGGGATGTTACACGGCCGGGATGTTCCTCAGCATCCAAAGAGAACAGCTTCTTAGGAATACGGATTTACGTGCGCAGTAGAAGGAGCTGCCTGTTCTGTCTTCTCTGTTTTTCTGTGCTTGACTTTCCAGAATCTTCTAAGTGCCTTGTGCCTTTTTTCCTCATTTCAGGACGACAGGTAAGCCGCGTTTCAGCTGTGCAAAGCTGCGGTCAGGGTCAGTTCCACTGCTGAAAGATAGTAATATCTTTTTTTAGCACCGGAAAAATGTTTTTTCTTTGTAATAAGTCTTCGCGGGGGCCGTGGGGGGTCTGGGCGAGGATTATTCTCTGGCACCAGTGAGCACCATGTGCCAACACACCGCGCCAGATCACGCGTCACGTACACACTGCACACCCCTTATTAATCTAAAGGTAATAGAAGGACCATTTTGAAGCAGAACATTTCTCACATACTGAGCTTGATTGTCACTAAATCACTTGGTACTTTGCCCTTGTGTCTGGCCAGTTCTGGAATCCCAGTCTTCTGTCCTTGTTTGTAGATTTCGTTTTGTATTCTGTATGCATCTTGTTCTTGCCCTGCGATGGACTGGCATTCCATCCAGGGTGATTCCCCCCCCCCCGAGTCTTGTGCCCTGTGCTGCCTGAGATGCCCCCCCCCACATGGATATGTCGTGTCTGGGTGTTTCTGATCCGGTTTGCCTGTGTCTTGACCAGGGTTGGTAACCTTCAATTTGTGATTTTACTGACAAGACTGCCTGCTTTTACGAACATGCCATATATTTTTCATTGACACCCTATTTTTACCTTTGTTTAGGTTTTACGGACAGTCCAATTTATTTTTCACATTTACGGACAGGGTGAATTTAATGCGGCCTGTCCGTAAATTTACAAACGGTTGGCAACCTTGATGTTGACCTATGATTTTTGCAATTCGTGCCCGTTAGCCCAGATTACAATTCATTTAACCCCCTACCACTGCACTTTGATCTGTAACCGCTTTCATTATTACGTCTCACTGGCAGTGAATGGTTTTCGAGGCCAGACCTCACCAAGGTTACCGCTGCACTTACTCACTGGATGGGTTTCGAGAAAGCAGCCCTGGTCAGTCCTCCGGGTGGCTGGTCAAGGACACATAGGGGGTGGTTTAGACCCCGGAATAGCATCAACAGTCATACCTGGAATAGCTCATGTACGTAACGTTGTCACCTTACAACAGAGTAAACACGTGACTTTTCCAACCCAGCACCGCTTGTAAATTCAGCTGAAACAAAACAGATCATATAAAAGCTGCAGGACAAAACTTGGCCTTGGTCAGACATAAAGAGACTTTTGCCTTGGTTTTCTCTTCTAACATATACTGAACTTTTAACTACATATTTTGCAGTATGAAAAATGGATGTTGTTCATACTTGTGAGTGAATAGTGTGTGAGTGTGCCCTGTGATGGGTTGGCGCCCCACCCTGGGTTGTTCCCTGCCCTGTGCCTGTAGCCTCTGGGATCAGCTCCGGACCCCCAGCCACCTTGAACAGGATATGCAGTTTCAGAAGATGGATGGATGGATGTTGTTCATACTGCAGAAAATCCAAATTGATAGCCGGGGTGAATTAAAACGGAGCCTGTTCGTCATGACCTCCTGCTGTGACATTCAGGCAGTTTTTATTAAAAGCTGTCATTCCCAGAATTCCCAGCGCTTCCCACGTCTTGTATTTTACAGAGGAGCAGTAAGCAGGCACAAACCCACCATAAGGCGGAAAATGCATGGACTCTCCTTGTAGGGCTAATAAAATGTCTGACTCCGTTAGCTATGGCTTTGGCGCGCCAAACAGCATGATTCACCGCGTCGTTAATGTTTGATAAGCTGTGCAGAATCAATTACATGCCCCCAGGAGAGCCTCAGTCCATGACGGCCGCGCTCGAGTGCTGATGCCAGGTACCAGCTGGCACCGTGGATGCAGAGGAGCTGCATCCTGGGGGCGGCCATGTTCCTAATCACCTCGGGAGCGAAGGGGCGCTGTCACAATCGATGCCACCATCCGGGAGTGAGGACCAGGCCCTGGACGTACACGTCTTCGCCCATGTGGCGGTGGGTAAGTATTACCCCTCTCTGACATCACTTCCTGGGAACAGGCTGCCGTGCTCATCACTGACAGTAACTGACGCCCTGTGCATGTTGAACGCTTGTGTCTCACCTTCCGTATGTAAAGTGCTTGAGGATGTGTCATTTTTCCATCCAGCTGTCCTCATCGCTATCGAAATAAAGGTCACAGTTTCTGCTGGGCGGGGGGAGGGGGGGGGGGGCCGCACTCTGTGTGTCACCGCCTTTGCAGCCCGAATTCCTGTCCCTAGCGTCACGCGGGAGGATGCGATTGCTGATTCTGCGCTGCAGCACCGCGGCCCCTTGCCTTGCCCTCCTGAAAGGGCTCCAATCCCAGCCTCTGCACCGCCTGTCCTGAAAAAAGTTGAGGAGCATGACGCTTTCTGATAACCGAATGAAAAGGAACCTGCTGCTTAAATTAAAAAATAAAATTCACCGCACACAAGCGCAGCCGATGATTCAGCACTACTGCTGATTAAAAATGTCTCGCATGATACGGGGGGGTTTGGAGATGCTTAGGGTGTACCTGAATGCCGAAACGCTGGCAGCACAGAGGTGACGCAAAAGCAGGTACAACCATAGGCAAATATTTGCAGTAATTTAAATACATTTTTACGCATGTGTCCAGCGCGCTCCTGTGTTTCAAATGAATGTTGTGAGTTTATCTGTTCATTTACTCATCGGTTTTAGCATCTCATAACGTAACGAGGAGACACTTATGATTTAACATTTTATATAGAAGAACATTTCATGGCTTACTGGGAAACTCACACCTCAGGGTTTGGAGTCTCTACATTTGCCAAATTGTGTATGTAGCCTTGTAGCCAATGGACTGCCATCCTGTAGCCAATGGACTGGCATCCTGTAGCCAATGGGCTGCCATCCTGTAGCCAATGGACTGGCATCCTGTAGCCAATGGGCTGCCATCCTGTAGCCAATGGACTGGCATCCTGTAGCCAATGGGCTGCCATCCTGTAGCCAATGGGCTGCCATCCAGTGTCAGAAATCCCACCCCATATGTCATACGCCTGCTGCAATAGGCTCCAGGCTCACTGCAATCCAGTACAGCAGGGTTCTTCAAATCTGGACCTCGATTCCAAATCCAGGCCTTGTTTTCAGTTCTCCCAGGTAGTTAGTTTAATAATTACTGATTCTGATTGGTCAGAGGCTTCACACCTGACTGACAGGTAAAGGAAGGCTGGAAAACCAGCAGTGCTCGGACCTTCGAGGACCGTGATTTGAATAACCCTGCAGTGCAGGATAAGTGGCTGAAATTAGCATTGAAGGATATATTGAATTAATCGATTCACAGCACCTTTCTCAAGGGGATATCAGCCGAATGCGGGGTACGAGCACGTCGCCTCCTGCTGGCGGGGCTGGAATCTGCGTCGTTCTCTAGCCGTCGCCCCACCCCGTTGCTGCAGGAGGTCCGGCCAGTCCAGCTTTGACTGCTCGGATGTTTATTTACGGACTGCCTCCCGACAGTTCGCAGCTTTGTGTGAGTCCTCTCATTATCACTCCAACAAGGCATTTCCTGAGTATAAATCACGTAAGCGAACAGCTGCTCGCCATCCAGGCATCAGCACCGACTGGCCGGAGCCATCTGGACGTGTGCGGAGCAGAAAAACACACAAATAAAATGCCACAGCATGCTTATGTATGATGTATGGTGCGTGTCATTCATTGGAGGTGCCTTTTCTAAGCGATGCTCCCCACTGAAGTGTCCATAGACATCACATTTTATGGATATAACAGACATTTTAATCCAAAGTAACTTAATTTTTTTCGAGACAGCAGGCGCAGACAGTCCCTGGAGTGACTGAGGGTTGGGGGCCTCGCTCTGCGGTCCAGGGATTTCAATCAATGACCTTCTGATCACAGGCCCGGCATCCTAACCACTGACCCCCATAGATGGATCACAAGGATCAAGTATATCATGATTTAATGCTCAATCCCACTTTTTAGTGTATGTCAAGCTTGTCTTGAAAATGAGATTTTTTGCACCTAATAAAATGCCCTTTCCCATGTTATTGAATGAAATATTATTGGCGGTACAGATATTCTTGAATGTCAGGGGTGTATACAGGGGCGGGACCAGTGGGGCATTGGCCCCAACTGAGAGCTGATTGGTCCCTGGAGTGCTCCCTCTCCTGTCACTCACCAGTTTGAAACATTTAAATTGGCTTATGATAACGTTGGCTTCTTTGTATGAATTATGGCCCCTCTTATGCGTCCAGTCTTAAAAAGACCCGGAATCGCCCCTGTTGAGAATCAAAACGAGAGCTATAACACTCCTGACAAAGTGGCATTTCTGCTGCCGTTCCGCAGGAGAGGAAGGCAGCCGGGAATGCCAGGCGGGTGTTGGGACACGGCCGAGATGGGAAGCTCACACACTCCGGCGCCGATATCTGTCTGAACCGAGTTTGGGCGTCACCAACATGTCATACAACAAAACCTAACCTACTTTTGACCAGGGACGACTGTGTTTGGACGCTGAGAATCGGACCTCCCGGTTCGACGCAGGCCCCCGGCGCCCAGCGGCGGGAGCGGCCGCACCGGACTCGGCAGATTGGCGGGAGCGGGAACGGGAGCCGGGCGCGGCAGCAGAAGGTATTTACATTGCGGCGGACGCAGAAGCAGACGAGCTGGCTGCTTGGTAGTCTCAGTGCTCTGGGGAAGCGACATACTACAACAGATGCCAGATTTTTTATTTTTTTTTGGGGGGGGGGGGGGGGGGATTCTCCTTTGTTTCTCAATATGGGGAATGCAGACGGGTGACATCTGGCATGCTGAATGTTTAAATACTCCCTGTGCTAATGTTGCCAATTTACATGCATATTCATATTTCTAAACAATAATTTCCATATATTATATTGTCCAGCTTCTTCACAGACCTTGTTACCCTCTTAGGTTCACTTGGCATACAGTTTTACGTTAATTCAATTTATAGAGCTGAAACAAATCAAGTAATTAAGTCTAAGGTACAACAACTCTTTCTTATCAGCTTTGAACCTTAAGTCCAGGTACTCGGCTATCAAACACTCACTTCCTCTTCATCTCGCAGCAGGGAGCTGGATGGGAGCAGAAACTCGGACCATCTAGGGATCCCCCAGGACTGGATCGGGAACCACTGCTCAAATCTATCAAACTTTGTAAACTTTTTTAATTAATGTGCTCTGTCTTCAAACGGATTAACAGCATCAAATTGAATGATGAATCCATTACAAAGAACTTCATAAATTACATTTGGTGAAACCAAATCTTCTCTCACTGCAAAACGGTAGATTATTAAAGTGCTGTGACACTCGTAAGAGATGTGTGCGTGTGAGTGAGAGCGAGCGGATTCTTTGGTCACTGCGACACACAGCTCCTGGCTGTGAGGTGAATCTCTGGCAATCTCAGCCCTCTAAAGGGCACCAGAAACTTTACTGTATTAATGAAAATGGGCATGTGCACACATATGGTAAAGTTACGCACAGTAAGACATTTGCAACATTAAATACAGTAATAACGAAGTACATTGTACATTAATTTACAGTACTATACTCTTTTAAATGAAAGGGATTCTGATATGTTAGTCTAATTTTCAAGAGACAATAGAGCGATGGAAAAATATCATGTATCAAGGGATGAGAAAGCAATGAAAATCATTTTTTTTATTCATTTTTATACAAATAGCGTGGCAACTAATGCGATCGCTGAGAACGCTAGAGACAGACTGGATGAAAGTTCTGGGGAAGCGTGGATGCGGGAATGAAGGGAGATGTACCGAGCACGACTGGGCTGAAGGATTTCATCATGTTACAGCCTGTGCTCCTTTGGCGAGTGGTTTGAAACTTAGGAACTGTTTGTTTCTGGAATTTTTCTTTTTTTCTTTTTGGACCAAAGTCAACTGAGGATAACTGAAGCCGTGTTTACTGAAACCACGGATACGGGGCCCCTGTGTATTACTGTGGACAAGCAGACCATACGCCCCCACCAA